ATTACACTTTCATATTTAAAAAACAAAACAATAATAATCATATATAATTCTGTAAATGTTTATGCCTGACAGATCTGGAGCAACCTAGAACATAAGGAAAGAGGGTTGGTTGCAGACCATATGGCGCACCGAATGTCAACTTCGGAAATGTATTATAAGGCGAGCCAATCTGGCTCTGCTGCTGTTAAGGCACATCAACTTATTATGTCTAGCAGAGAAATAGTAGCCAACAAGGTAATGTAATTCAATTTTAAACAAAAGTAAAGACCATGTCAACAAACATTACTCTTACGTTCATAGGGAGTTAACAGGGAAAGAAATTGTTGAAAAGGTAGTAGTGTTTGGAAACAAATGCCATACACTAGTTCAATTTTAATGTTACAATAATTCAAATTTTATAATAAAAAAAAATTAAATTAAAATACATAAAAATATAAGAAGACATATATGTATGTTGATACTCCTTTAACGAAATAATATTTTTCTTAAAACAAAGCCAAAGTTGGTATTGACAACATAGGCTATTTTTCACAACGCCTCAGGGGCGGATACACCAATTTTCAAAAGGGGTGAGGGAGGGGGTGCCACTATTCAAAATAGAAACGTGAGTAGTGCTAAATTCAATACCGTATATGCAATGAACCGGGGGTAGGGTTGTGCCACGTGCTCCCCATGCCTCCTACTGGACCCCTGTCTGGCGGAATGTCTTATTGAGAGGCAGAAAATCTTGTTGTACATACCCAAATACTGTACCACCTGATTATAAGTTGATGGGAAAGTTACAGGTCGCTACAAATAATTACTATTTTCAATATATTATTCCTTTCTTATTTCTAGGATGTCCATTCTGAGGCAGAAGAGGTAAGATTTAGGCTTACACTAGATTCAGTAAAAAATGATCAAAATGTCAAAAATTAACATAATTCAGTTTTAAAGTACAACATACAACATCCCTTTGCGATACACTAATCATATTGCAAAATGCAATTCTATGGTTACGCTGAAAATTTAACATATTTAATTTTTTGATTTTCGATTAAGTACTATACTTTTAATATGCCTTTCCCATTTGTTTGGAACAGGCAAGCTATGCTTAGGCTGATATTTTAAATTTTAAAGTATGTTCCTTTGAACAATTTTTCACTGTTTTCAATATATTTCCCCTTCATATTTTCAGAATAACCAATCTGAAATAAATGAAGAAATAGAGGTAAGATCTACACCAGAGTAAAAATCATAAAAATGTCAAAAAATAACACATTGTATCAGTTTTGAATGCAACATGCAAGCTAACTGTATGATTCAGCTGACTTTTAAAATTTTAGAATATATTCCTTTAAATAACAATTATTTGATTAATTTCAATATACTGTATTTTCCCCTTGAATCATATTTTCAGAATAACCAGTCTGAAATTAATGAGATCTCCATCAGATGGTTATGGTTAATGGTTATTAATTTATAGAGCGCAAAATACAAAAAGTCTCTAAGCGCTATCAGGCAAGTGTAAAGATGGAACGGAAACCAAAACCACAAAATAAAAAGAAGTGAAATTTGAATACCATGCCAGCACCCAAACCGAAGTATGGGGATACGCCCTCATCGCTGGCTAGGGT